AAACATTAAAAAAGCACAAGTCGTGAAAAGAGACTTGCTTTGCCTATGCTAGTATTGGTGTATAAAAGTGTAAGTGTATCTCTCGATGTGTGTGTGTGTGTGTGTTGTTATTTTTATGCTGTAAAGAAAACATGTTTGCCGTTTGCTGCCTGTGTTGGTGGTAGGAAATCATGAACAAAGTCATATGACGCTCAGGCTACGTGCTTTGGAGTAATTGCAGCGAGTCATGGCTTATGGATGCCAGCCAGAGAGTGTTGGCCATGTTTGGCTCTCTGTGCATGTGTGTGTCTGTGTGTATGTTGTTGTTAGCGGCTGATGCAAGCGCATACCCGCATATTTGGCTAAGCAGCATTCGCTATTGATAATGAAAACGACACCTTTAGTTAGGCAGCAGCGGCAAACACGCCTCGAGCCACAACGGATTGCATGACTAATGCGCATACCAAACACCCACACAGACTAGCTAATGAGCCAAACAAAATGCTTCCGCCAACTTTAAATACAAGTGGGTAACTCCCTCCCCTTTGGGGCTAGCGATATGTAATCATCGATTGCTTCGAATTATGCTAATGCAGGTGAAACAAAGTAAATACCAATTAAGAATCGTAATGGAGAAACTGTTAGATCATGATGGCTGATATCTTGAGGGGGTAACCTAAGAGCTACTCGGGAATTTTAAGAAACTTGGCGCGCACTTATGTGTGAACGACTTGAGAATGGTATTAAATGAGTAGCTTAAGACAGAAGTCACGCGCTTGAGTAATTGTTAGATGAATAATCTCTGAATCTCTAAAATCTTTTCGTTCAGCGCCGGACTACGTATTCTGTATATATGCATATGCCATACAGATTCGAATTAGCTTTTTCATATCTCTCCCAACCTCTTTATTAAACTCTTCCCATTCTGCAAAGCATTTTTCCAACTCGATGAACTGCCCACACTTAAGTCAAATCTATTACAACACATTCGTTAATTGTTTTAGCTTTTGTTTTGTTTTTCCTATAGCTGACCCAATTTACATATTCGCGAAATAAAAAACCTTTGCCACGCCCATTATACATTTCGTTAGGGTCGTTAGTTTTGCCGTTATTTAGTTGCTTTTCTTGTTGCAATTGTTTATGCACGCTTTAAAGGTATGGCCATTGTTTTTGTTGTTGCTGTTGCATGATTGTTGCCAACTGGCGCCAAGTTTGTTGCCTAAGTCTTTTGTATGGGTTGCGCAAAAGGTTCAGGGAAACGGACAACGGTTAGCTGCACCGTTGCCATATAGAAAGAAACACCCATAAAGAAAAGCAAAGCAAAACAAAACAAAGTTCCGTTATTCCCGCATAGCTCATGCTATTTGTCTACTTTTTTCCCTCTCTCATAAATAATTCACAATTGATTCGTGATTAAATTTGCAGCTACTGAACTATCAACACTTGCAAATGAACCATAAATTGTGAATCGAATTAACATTGTATTGCTGCTTCATCTCTTTATATATGTATTGTAGATATATGTATCTGCATTGCAAGCATAATTGGCTCTGGATTGCACAACATTTGTTAAGTGTGCTAACAATAACGCAATTAGCCATGATATATTAATAACTTAATCCCAGCAAATGATGGCGTTGCCGTTGCTGCTTATATAATTGACTCTCATTGTTGACTAGCCAAAAGTAATTAATATTATTTGCAGCTCGACTCACATAGCGGCGCGAGCTGAACAAGAACTTAAGTGCCTGTACTTGGGATAAATCCTCTGCAGTTGGCTGGCTGATAAATAAAAACAATCACTTGACTCGTTTGACTTGTTGCATGGTTTTGCCTTTTGGTATTTGAGCGACTCACGTGTTATGGCCAATCGCCTGTCGGCTGTCTGAGAGATGCAAATGTGCGTTCAATATCATCAGCATCAATTCGCTTGTAAAAATAACCAATAAAATTACATTTTATATTGAACATAACAAATGTGCTCGATCTTCAATTAAAAATATATGTATATTTAATCATTTCGATTGCATCTCACTCAAGATAAATTGAACGCCGTTTTTAGATCACTTACCTCGTGAGGCGATATCATATTTCTGTTGAGCATTTCAATTGAAGATTGTTTACAGCATCAGCTCTCGAAAATCCGGTCCCCAGATGTCGTATTCAAAAGCCATCAAAATAATATATATATAACTTAACATGTTGTTAGCCACACACAAATTTAATATTTTATATTTGCTGGCGCGGTTCACGAAGTTCAAGCGCCTGCTGTGAGGCTGACGAAACCCATATATGAAAAAATTCCCGCCATAAAAAGTCCATGTTTAGCGTTAAGTTCCGCCTATTTAAATAGAGATAATATGCATTTTGGTCTGCGCATCGATTGCAAAATACACAATAGACACTAAAACACTTTCTTTTTTTTTTTTTCAAAACAAAAAATGTTTGATTTATTTAATTATCAAATAAATTGTGCACACAATTTATAATAAATAGTAGAAACAAATTAACAGCGGTGTCATAAGAGACAACAAACTGTTAAATAATGTATACGCCGTGTGTGTGCGTGTGTGTGTGTGTCTGTGTGTGATGCGCATTTCTATTCATGCGCACAGCTGCTCGATTGGTGCCATCAAAGTCAGGTGTGACACAGTTTTTGGCATTCGCCTTACGCGACACACTTCAATTTCAGCTGCCCTCAACACCCGCTGCACACATACACACCCAGATACGAAACACGAAATGAAAAAAAAAAACACACACACACACACAAATACAAATACAAATGTTAATTGTACGATTGCTGCTCACTCACAGGTCTGTCGCTGTCCGTTTGTTTCACTGTAGCTTAGCTTTCGCTTTCGCAGCTAATGCGACGTGACTGCCTTAGCGTTGTTATCCATTTGTTTGCTCATGTTCTGCGCCAATGCAACAACTAAATGTATAGAAATAAATATATACATATATAGATATATAAATAAGTAAATAAAATAACAGGCTGTTCGTGCTGAGGCAATATTTTGTGCCAATTGGCAGACAGGCCAATTGCAATGCAATAAACAATTGCAGAGGAGCCATCGGAATGCTGGCGTCCAAATTGCATAAAGCAACAATTGCCATATACATTGTATATTGGGTTTTTGGCATTTTTTGATTTCGATAAGAATTTGTTACGAATGCGACGGGCGAAACGGCATTAAAATAAAACACTAGGTTTAACGGATCTTTGAATTTGTTGACTCCAACGAGACGTAAAAACAACGGGTTCGTCAAAAACAATTAATAATAAAATAATTATAAAAAAAAAAAAAAACAAAAAAAAAACATTATTCCAGCAAGTACTTCGCTTGCATGTATAAATATAATTTTTAAATAAAAACAATAAAGTAAAAGCAAGTATTTTGATAATTATTTGAAGTACGCCAAACAAAAGACTTAGGAAACAAACTTGCTGTGTGTACACACTCGTAACCATAAGCAAGATTAGCGTCAAGAAATCAACCTTGGAATAAGCCACGAAATAAAAATAAGCATATACATATATAGATAAAAATTATACATAGAAAACTAATTAGACTGCACGAAATGCTAGAGGAAAACCTGAAAGTAAACCACAAATAAACCGAAAATGAAAACGAATATATACCTGATAATTATAATAACTAATCATATTATATATAGCCATATATTGAGTGGCAAACGTCATAATGCTCATTATCATCGAGCATGTGCCGGATAAGAGTTGGGAAGGAAGTGCGTCATTTACCCATAGTTATAGTTGAGCATATGAATGAGCTCATTAAGCACTACGATTGACAGCTCTTCGATTGAGTAGAACGCCCACAAAAGATTGCAATTGTTGCACAATTCGACAGAGAGATTCGCTCAGGCATATCCCATTGCCAAATTTGTCACAACAGCAACAACAAGGCGAAAAGAACAAAACTACAAAAAACCCAACTTCAATATTAATGTCAAAGACAAAAGCAGAAACCGCATCACGTGAGGCACTCAAAAAACCATAAGAATAAAAAAAATTAAGTACTATGACAAAGCGATTCTCTTGATGAACTGCGGAGAGTATCCGTGTATTGTTCATAATTAGAAATTGATTAGTTAGGGGGCCGGCATTTACGACTCAGTACATCCGGCTCACTTGCGATGCTCAATCTTGAGTTATTCGCCTCATGCATGCTGCTCATCTAATTGGCAATGTGAGCAAGGGGCGACGATGGGAAAAGCGGCGCTTCAATTATAAAAGCTGGAAAATGCCGTTGGAAAAACGACATAAGTACATCAGAACGGGATTATACAGAAACTGAAAGCCCGTTTGTTGGGAAAAATCAGAAAGTGATAATTAAAATGTTTAATCAAGTTAACTACTAACCGGGTTAATAAAAAGCATTTTTTATTATTATTTGTTTGAATATCTGCACTGACCAGAGAACACATAGACTAGACATGTAGAACAAATTTTTCTACAGC